CTTACAACTAGGCCCCGTAAAGGCACTGCTAGGATTCCTGCTGGGCACCCAGGATCTCCTGTTTACTACACAGGTGTTTTAACCCACTAAGCTACAGTGCCACTACCTCTGCATTTAACCCATCCCCTTAGGGAGCAGTGGGCTGCCATTGTGCGGCACCCGGGGAGCAGTGTGGGGGTTAAGGGTCTTGCTCAGGAACCCAAAGTGCAGGGATCAACTTGAAACCTTCTCAGAGAACATGCTCACTGCTCTACTTGACCAACACAGCTGTTATGCTGTTCTCAGTTTGTAATTCTTCTCTTCCTGTAGTTCTCCAAAGATGCTCTGGCTGACATGTATTCGGCATACATTGACAACTTTCTTAACGCTAAAGACGCCGTGAGGATCGCCAAGGAGGCGAAGCCAGCTTTTCACAAGTTTCTGGAGGTGAGCGTTTGATCGTTTGTTCCTCTTTTCATTAGCTTCCTTCTTTTTTATTGGCTTATATTGTAAATCAGTGTAAGCTTTGAAATGTCAAACCTGTTGCAGGTTTCAATGAGAACTACTCTTTGCACCTACCTTCATTTAAATCGTATTTTACCCAGCCTTAGTGTTTATCTTGGTTTGCTTCCTGTCAGTTGCTTTGACAGTAGAACCATTCGCCATCTTGTGGTGAAGTTGTGAAACTCACCACAGACCAGATTTAAAAGGATTTTTATTCTCTAGTACTTAATTTACACTGTAAACAATCACTAGATTATCACTGCTAGGAGAAGCATGTAAATGTTCTCATATAAGAGTTTTTAATAACTACTTAGAGGCCCATTTCCAATAACAAATTTTTCTATAAGTGCTTTCCTGAGGTAAAAGGCCATCATCAAAACACACAAGTAACAAATATTTACTTGTTAAACTAAGTAAACAGAAAACTGGATAAATAAAAGATAAGAGGATGAGGAACTAAAGGCACAAATTAAAATGACTCTGCACTTAAAATAAGTGCCCATAATCACCCAAAACACCCAAATCAAATCTATTAAAGCAAACCAGTCCTCTTACTGCATTTCAAATTCTCACCCCTCCTTTGAATCCAAAAGCAAAACATGCGTGAGAACAAGGAGAAGCAAGCTCTGGGGGACCTAATGATTAAGCCGGTGCAGAGAATTCCTCGATACGAGCTGCTGGTTAAGGTAACTTTTTCACTGTTTTCTTTCTGTTTTATTAAGCAAAGTGGAAGTTTGGCAACAGTTTAAATAGAGATTGATGTGTTTGCCTTGCTCGATAAAGGACTTGTTGAAACACACGCCAGAGGATCATCCGGATCATCCCTTGTTGCTGGACGCTCAGAGGGACATCAAGCGACTGGCGGAAAAAATCAACAAGGGACGTCGGTCCGCCGAGGAAGCAGAGAGGGAGGCCAGGGTTATCCAGGAGATCGAGGCGCACATAGAGGGAGTGGAACATGTGAGAAGATGCGGAATACGATGAAAATCTTCTCTTTTGCTTCTGGTTTACTGTTAATGAGGCCAAAAACATGAACTACAACTGGTTTGATCTGTAATATCAGTTGGTATCTTTTGTTATTTGACAGCAATGTGTGATGTTTGTTTCAGATTTTCAATCCACAGAGGAAGTTCTTGAGACAGGAAATAGTCATGGAGGCGGTAAGAAACGAGTGAAATTGGTGAAAGGAATAAAGATAAAAGCATCAAACAAATAGTTCTGAAGGGAAGTGGTCCAGAATATCTGAGCTGCTCCTGTCTCTCTGTAGAAAACCGTAGGGGGGAAGAAAGACAGATCCCTGTTCCTCTTCAGCGATCTGATCATCTGCACCACTCTCAAGAGGAAGTCCGGCTCATTAAGGCGCAGCTCCATGAGCCTGTATGCAACAAGAATATGGCCCCGGCTTTAAAGCACACTGCCCCCTGGTGTTCCAAAATAATTTAGCATCTTTGTGCTTCTCTCATTTTCCCCTTTCAGATATTCGGCTGCAAGTGTGATTGATACGTCCAGTAAATACAAATTCTTGTGGAAACTTCCTCTCGAGGACGTGGAGGTGGTGAAAAGTAGGAGTTTTTTCTATTTTTATATCCATACACCATGTTGTTGTATATATGAAGAAACATAAAAACATTGAATCCTGTATAAATAAAAGTTTTTCTCCCGTTTTTGCGGTTGTTTAAATACCAGATTTTTGGCTCCTCTTCTCATCTCCTAAAGGTTCTTCTCAGGCGACCAACAGAGAGAGCATCCAGAAGATGATCAGCCGATTGGATGAGGATCTCAGCACTCTGGGTCAGATCAGCAAACTATCAGAGACCCTCAGCTTCCCTCATCAGGTACTTTCCAGAAACAGAATACGCATATTGTCCTGAAGTTTGACGTTTATTTTCATTTAAATCCTGCCCAAGACAAAGACATTTAGTCTAAAAGCATCATTTTTATTTTCCTGTTGTTTTTGAAGACAAAAAAAAGACATTCAAAAAGCTGTTCTTACTCTGTTTATTTTTTTTTTGTAAGCATGGGGTACAATTACACACCAGAGTAATTGTCAGAATTTCTTAATTTAAGTGTGTTTACCCTTAATCTGAGCAGGTTAATATGATGATTTGCCAATGAAATTACTCTATTTACTCTTAAAACAAGATAATTGGATAATATGGTCTTGAAATAAGACAACGCAGTTGTTTTTCTTATTTTAAATGTAAATTGTCTCGTTCCAATGACAAATTCTCTCACTTACCTCCTCAATTTAAGAAAAAAATGCATTTATTTTAAGAGATAATGACTTATACAGATTTCATTTTTTGCTGTGTATATTTAAAGAGACTAAGGATAAAACCATGAATAAGAAATGGTTATAAAATATAACATTTTCAATTTTTCTAAATAAATGCTCATAGAAAGGGAGTGTTTTTTAATATATTACCTGGTTGTGAAACATGTTTTCCTACTCTGAGTCATACCTTTGATAAATTAAAGTCTCCATAGCGATAAACCAATTTCTACTTTTGAGACAAACATCAACTTATTGTTGTTCTAATGCATCAGTGGCTATTTCTGTCTTGCTCTGAAAGGATTTTTTTTTAGTCATTGAAAAATTTATATTTCCTAATATGACCAAAAGCTCCTGAGAGAAAAGCTGAAAGAGTCTCAGTAAATATTGTTAGCCGTTTGTTTTTTTCATGAAAATTGGCAGTAGAAAACGGCTCAAAATTTATCAGAAAAAAAAAAAACTGATCAAATCCCAGATGTTTGCTTTACAATTACTCGTACTCAATATTAAATATTCAATATGTTTCTAGCCTCAAATAATTTATTTTTAGATATTTGAAGTAACATGCATTGACATCTTTATGCAATTAACAAATTGACCAGCTACCCTTGCCGTCCATGTGTGGTGTTCATTCTTAGTGTGTTGTTTTGTTCTTTATTAATTTATATATTTATTATAGATGGTTTTCTAACTGCAGAGTGTTTTTTAATTTTCCCTAACCTCTCCATCCTTTAATTTGCTTATCTCAGTCCCTAGATGAGGCCATTAAAGATCTGATGGCATCTGTGCACAAAGAGCTCTCAGAGAAACAGTCTTTGGCCTTCAGCATGACTTTCCTGCCAACGAAACTGGAGTTCACCACAGTCTCCGCTGAGAGCACCTTCGTTTTTGAGTTCAGCTCTCCTGACGCTCGCTCATGCTTCGAACAGGCCTTTGAGGATGCCAAGAAGAAGCTGGGTCAGTGACAGAAATGTATAAAGTGCTAAAAGAATCAAGCTGAATGGGATTTGATTGTTCCAATTAACAGATATCAACATAATAAGCTTAATAAGTCTTAGAAAAAAAGTGTTCTTTATATTGAATTACTGTATTCTTTAGTTTAAATGAGTCTGACTAACTTAGATCTACTGGCTTTGTTATATCCTTCCTGATTTTTCTTCTCTGTGCTTTAAGCTATGAACAAGGACCAGTGGGATCCAGAATTCCTAAAGGCTATCCCTATTATGAAGACCCGCAGTGGGATGCAGGTGAATTTTGATTTTTTTTACACACAACAAAGAAGCTCTTCTCTGTTTGTTTGTCCATGTTTTGATTTTCCCAGTGTTGTTAGAGCTGAATTGTCAATTGATGATAAAAAAAAAAACTTCAAACATGATGAAAATGATAGATAACAGTTATACATAAAATATATTTGTTTTGTCTGCAGTTTTCTTGTGCCTCGCCGAGCCACAGCTGTCCTGACAGTGGCTGTGAAGTTTGGGTGTGTAACAGCGACGGATACGTGGGTCAGGTGAGCGGACCTGGAATATGATTACCCTTAAATTCTTTTTGCATTGGTTTTGCAGCCAGTTTGATGGATGGGATGTCTTTGCTTTAGGTTTGCTTGTTGAATATAAAAGATGAGCCCACAGTGGAGGCCTGCATCGCTGTCTGCTCAGCCAGGATCATCTGTATCGCTGCGGTTCCAGGACTCAAGGGAAGGTTGGTGTGCTGTTATAACTACCTACACCGAAAGTAACCCCAAAACAGTTGCTGTTTAGTCACTAAGACCTGCTTTTATTTTCTCTTGTTTTACTTAATATTATCTAAATCCACGAAGTTCATTACTATGTAGTGCCAGGAACATTTATTGGCAAGTCACCATTTTCTAGAGATAGTTGAAACTGACACTGATTATTTTCGTGACATTCAAAGTCATTTGCGATTATTTATTTAGTGGGGAAAATATCCCTAAATCAGCAATGATGGGAGTATTGGGGTCAGCATGCTGAGTTCTGCAACTGCTCTCAGAATTATTAGGAGTCTGTGATTAGGGCAATGTGAAAGTGGATCCATAAAAAAGAAAGACAGTTTCTGCATTAAGGCCATAACATACTCCTTGAGAAGCAAGAAACTTCTGCAAGAAAGTTGTTGCTCCTACATCTGCGAGAGCAAAATATTCATCCTAGCCATCCTCGCTTCTTGTTCTCCATACATCCTGTGGGCAGAACTTGTTTTTCCTTGGACAGTGTCTAACAACAGATGTACAGCAGGTAAAATAAGTATTCAACACACCTCAATTTTTCTCAGCAAATATATTCCTAGAGCTATTGACACGACATTTTCACCAGATGTCGGTAACAATTCATGCAATTCACACATACAAAGACATCTAATTATAGATGTCTGAAATGTATTTAATACTTTGTACAAAAGCTTTTATTGGCAACGACAGCTCCAAGACCCCTGCTGCATGGAGAAATTAGTTGCATGCATTGCCCAGGTGTGATTTTGGCCCATTCTTCCACACAAACGGTCTTCAAATCTTGAAGGTTTTGTGGGCGTCCTCTATGAACTCTGATCTTTAGCTCTTTCCATAGCTTTTCTATTTGATTCAAGTTGGGTTATTTTCTTTCTCTGAAACCAATTGAGAGTTTCCTTAGCTGTGTGTTTGAGGTCAGTGTCTTGCTGAAATGTTCACCCACATTTCAACTTCATCATCCTGGTAGGTGGCAGCAGATTTGTATCAAGAATGTTTCTGTACATTTTTATTTTCATCCTTCCTTCAATCATTTGAAGTTTGCCAGTACCATATGCTGAGAAACAGCCCCACATCATGATGTTCCCACCTCCAAACTTCACTGTTGGTATGGTGTTTTTGGGGTGATGTTCAGTGCCATCTGACCCTCAAACATGATGTGCATTATGGCATCCAAAGAGTTATATTTTAATCTCATCTGACAGGACTACATTCTCCTAGTATTTCAGAGACTTGGCTAAATATTCTGCTGCAAATTTAAAACAAGCTTCAGCATGCTTTTTGTTCAGCAATGGAGTCTTGCATGGGGAGGGTGCATACAGGCCATGGCGGTTGAATCCATTACTTATTGTTTTCTTTGAAACAATTGTACCTGCTAATTCTGGGTCTTTCTCAAGCTCTCCACAAGTTGTCTTTGGCTCTTGGACAACTCTTCTGATAATTATTTTCACCCCTCTGTCAGAAATCTGGCGAAGAGCACCTGGTCGTGGTCCGTTTATAGTGAGATAATGTTCTTTCCACTCTCAGATTATGGCACCAACAGTGCTCAATGGAACATTCAGAATGTAAGAAATCCTTCTGTAACCGATGCCATCATTAAGGTTGAAAAGGTCGTTAGAAAGCTCTTTACTTTTACCCATCATCAGATATTTCTCATGTGATACCAGAGAAACCTTTCTATAGGCCATCATTTGGGACTGAAACAGCTGATATTAATTTAAACTGACAAAGACAAGGATTGCTTTCTAATTACTGAGTGGTTTCAGCTGCTGTCTTGGCTTTTCATGCCTTTTTTAACTTCCCTTTCTTCACATGTTCAAAAATTTTCCCCTATACCATTCCATATTATTATACATAATTACATTTCTGGACATCTATGGTTTGCTTTCTTTGTATGTGTGGATTGCATGGATTGTTACTGACATCTGGTGAAAATGTCATGTCAATAGCACCTCTAGAAATATGTTTTCTGAGAAATGTGGTGGCGTGTTCAATATGTATTTTACCTACTGTATATGATTGGTCAGGGTTTGGATGGGCTTTAATAAGTATGAAAAACAGACATGATTTTATCTTTTTGTTTTTCAGGTGCAGAAATCTGCACAGTGAAATAAGCAAGCGGTAACTTAATGGATAGTTTTAAGGGTGGGCTTGCCGGGAAGATGAGGAAACAAAAAATATAGATGACATGTCTTCTACCTAATTTACCGCATTTTGCTCTCCTCCTTCTTTGTGCGCATGATAAATGCCCCCTCTTCTGTTGCGTTGCTGTTATGTCTTCTTTTGGCAAATCTGACGTCAGCTCCAGTTGACTTTAATTTCTAGTAGTTTAGTAGGTTTTTCATGAACACTTAAAGGCAAAACAACCTCTTTTCTTCTTCCTGCCTCTTTGAGGAGAAGAGCAAATTTCTAAAGGGGTGTAATTACATGGAATAATAATGCGAGAGTGGAAAGATGCAGAAGATCTGGCATTCTGAGGCTGGCTTACAGAAATAGGCAGAGTTTGATAACTGAGACTGAGAACATATGAATGGGGGTTATTTACTAAGCTTCATGGCTTTGAGGGTAACTGTTTTTTGTCCAGTTTAATAAATTTGACCACCTCATGGCTAACACCATGATGAGAAAAGCAGTGGCTTTTTTTGCTGTTTTAAGCTAAGCTTATAAGATTTTCGATTTTTATTGGAATCTATCAGAGTTGGCTCTGCTTCTTTATTTTATTTTATATCTCTTATTTCAGTGTGTCTTAACCATGGTGCTCTGGGCCCACTGTCCTGCATGCTTTATGTGCAAAATTCAAAATTAGATTAACAAAATTCGAATTAGTAGGTCTTTCAATACGATAATCATATAAAACATTAAGCATAATTTGGCCAAAAATTATTCATCAGGCACAAAATCAACATTCTACCGTTTGTTCCAGAGTTCACAGGGTCAAAACTTGTAGTAAAACTCAGGGCTGAAACAAAGAGCTTAAGAAGGTAAAGAGTAGAACAACGTCTGAACATTGGATTTATAACCCTGACTTTATAAATATACATTATTTAAAGATTAATTGCATTTATCTCTAAAGTTTGCTGTAAGGCCATTTCTATACCTTCAATGTTGCCTGCACATGAAAAGCCTTTTTTTCTGCAGCAGGCTGCAAATATGCCCAAACATTTCAAGCCCTAAATTAAATGTTTGGGCTAAAACATGCATCAGATCAACAAACATAGAGCTGCACTCACAAAACTGTACATGTACATCTTTAAAGATGGTGCTAGGTTTTTGCACTGTGGAAAAATTTACTTCATTTCTTTGTAATATATGGCCAATGTTAAGGCCCTTATTTCAAATAAAACATAAATATGTGCATTCAGATGTAAAGCTTTATTCATGTTGATCTCTCAGGGATCGTGTGTCAGAACCTGCTCCAACCTCCGGACCCCCCAGTCACCCCCAACAGCAGCTCAACATCTCGATATCACCTTCTACTCTGGAGCTGACAGAGCAGCCTACAGGTCAGCTCCTCCCACAGACACCTGCTGCAAGCTGCATAGAGCCTGTTTGAATTATACTGCTTGTTTGAGTTGATTATAATACATTAATACCTTAAGGCTTTTCTAAATTCACAGTCTTTGGTAAGATTAATCAAATAAACGCATGAAATTCATTAGTTTGACGCTTAGATGTAAAAAAACACAATTCATTTGCCACCTTATTCTTCCTATAATGTGGACAAAATCTAGTTTTTAAATACTTTTATTCAAGCCTCAAATGTTTTCCACATTGACCAACTCGTACTTCATGGTTTAAGTGAAAACAATTGCAGAAATTGAAGTCATTTGTTGACCAAAAAACATATATCTAGGCTGGATCTGCATCTTTTGTTTCTATTATGTTTTCAGGGGTAGTTTACAATTTCATTTAACAAGTGAATAAAGCACAGAATTGGAAGGGGGGGGAAGCTGACTTTTATTTAATTACATTTTGGCTCAAGGAGCTGAACAAAAAGGAACAGTTTCTAAAGTGGGATACATTTTACTCTACTTGCATATTTATGTTAAATCTGTATTTTAAATTCAATATTTATTTACTTTAAATATGTTTGAATAAAGCAAGTTTGTAAGTAAGTATTTAGCAAAAATCATCTAACCTTACAATAGCCAGATGTGTTCATTGGTTCTTAGTCCCAGCAACACTGAAATAGGGATGGGAGAAAATCAACAGTTTTTCTGTATGCCTTGTTGGGGCCAAATACAATATGTTTTAGAACACCTGTTAAAATGACCAAAAACTGTGATCTAGCCTTAAGGTAATTTATTATATCTGAGGTTTTTTTTTATGTTTTAAAACAGCTTAATTTAGGATCATACAACCTATAAACTTAACAGGTTGCTAATAAGAATTGAAAAATCTACTGTGCTTGAATTTGACCTTTGAGCGGCTTTCAAATCATGGCAACTCGGCGTGAATTTTAAAAGTATCTGCTCCAATGTTTCAAATACAAACAGAAAAACAATCATCTAGTCTCTCGTTTATCTTTTAGGACCAGGGGCGGAGCTTGTTCCCTTTGACAGCGATGACTCAGACGATGAGGATTCACCTAGTCCTTCTTCAACTTTGCAGAGTCAGGCCAGTCACTCCACCATATCCTCCAGCTATGGCAGTGAGTAATTGTTTTTTTTGGGTTTAGGTAGTTAAACCATCAGATTTACCACTTCATCATATTGTCCTGCATTCATCTCCCTAAGATGATGAGGGTCTGAGCTCCAAAGACATGGCCACGGAGACCACCAGCAGCGAGGAGGAGCAGGAGTTTCCTGTCCCGAGCTCCTTTGGTGCTCCAGGGATGCTGGGAGTAGGAGGAGGGAGTCGTGCCCACACAGAGAGCCCTATGGATGGCCGGGCTATGCGGCGATCCTCACGGGGGTCCTTCACCAGAGCGAGTCTGGAGGATCTGCTGAGTATCGACCCGGAGGCCTATCAGAGCTCCGTGTGGCTTGGCACAGAAGATGGATGGTAGGACAATTAAACTGTTATTTTCCTTATTCCCTTTTAAAGTTAAATGTCATCTCTCTCCCTCTTTCATTTTTTATTTTTTTTATGGGTGCAGGATGATGTAGTGTTTACAACAATAAATAATGAAGCACATCACTCCCCTCAGTCTTCCATGTTGTTTCTACATCGTGTAAATTCCTCTAATTACTCAAAAATTTGGTGTTCAATTGATGAGATGTCTGATATATTTGTATGTGTTTTGTGAAGCACAGTGATTGGATCTGTGAAAGCTTTTTACATAAGTAAAATTTCCCTCATTTACTCAAGTTCTCTACTTCCTTCTTTCCTACCTGGCTTGTAATCTTTATCCAAGTATTTGTTTATTTTTAGGCTTCATATTTAAAGATTTTCCTCTGTAGCTTATATTTAGTTTATATATATTTATGAATTCTTGAGTTCCATAGATACAGATTTGTATCAAGTATTTAGCGCTGCAACCTGAGTTTGAAAAATGTACAAATTTGACATGAAATTTTAATTTTAAGTTCTGTTTTTAACTAATTACAACCATCCAACCACTGCCTACACCCATTGATCCATGTAGGTCCACAGGGAAGGCCGCTGCATATCTCAAGGGAACATTTGGCAAGACGGGGCAGGTTGCTTTACCCCATCCTTTGATTAATTATAGCATCTCTGTCCTTTTCAGCATCCATGTATACCAATCCTCAGACAATATCCGAAACCGTAAAAACAGCATGAAGATGCAGCATTCTGCCTCCATCCTCTGTATACTGTAAGCCTGCCTTTAAACTCACAGCTATTGAATCTTTAATGCAAATGTCTTTTTAAGCTTTTGTTTTGATTAAACATTTAGAAAAGTAATTTTAAAGCTGTGTAATGTATTTTATTTTCTTAAAAGGTTCTTGCAAACATTTTTTTTCCTTCTATGTCAGGTATTTAGACAACAAAGTGTTTGTATCATTAGCAAACGGTGAGGTGATCGTCTATCAAAGAGAGGCAGGTGAGCTAAAGTTTAAAACTAACCAGTGGAAGAAATATTAAACAGATTCTGAATTGAGATTTTTTAAAGGTAATTCTTTTCTTCTTTTTTTTCCCTCTGAATCTCCAGGTAGTTTCTGGGATCCTCAGTCTTCCCAGACCTTAGTTCTTGGTACACCCAGTAGTCCAGTTACCAAAATGGTTCCAGTTGGAGGGAAACTCTGGTGTGGCTCCCAGAACAGAGTTCTTATTATCAACACTACTACACTGGTACAGGAGGTAAGTTAAGCAGCGTTGTAGAAAAATGGATTCATGGATCACTGGTTTGACCTTTGCGTTTCTCTGTCTTTCTAGCACTGGTTCCAGGTCGGCACTGACAGCAATCGCTGCGTTACATGCATGGTGGTTTATGGTCAAGGTGTGTGGCTGGCGCTGCAGGGCAGTGCACAGGTCAGGCTGTACCATGCTCAGACCTGGGAGAGCCTGACGGAGATTGACGTGGCTCCAGCCGTGCACAAAATGCTTGCAGGTGAGCACGCACACCTTCTGAGGTTAAACTGAGGGTGTCAGCTGTACACAGTGGTTTGCCAAAAACATGAGCTTTTTCAGGTTTCGTCACTGTTGAACCACAATCTTAGATGCATTTCCTTGGGCTCTTATGTGACATAAGTATGGTCTGTGTTCTTTGGTTTTAGTTGAGAAGCCTCTAACCAAAGGACAAAATGAACGGTTAGAATAGGAGAGAAATATGCATCATGCCATTGGGATGGGTTTCCACAGCATTTTATGAGAGCATTTTTTTTTTTTTTTTAGCATGGCAGGGTCTCTGAAGTAGCTGAGAGGCTGATTAGAAGCGGGGTACACTCAGGGCTAGTCAGCATACTTAACAGCACTCCAGAGTGCCCTGTTAACTTAATGTTGATGGGGACTAAAGGACTCAGAGCTACAACAGCATGGTTTAGATCAATTTATTCATTTTTTCCGTGATCTAGTCAAAGTCCAAACCTAAATTAAATAATGTCTGAAGAATTAAAAGCCAGAGTTTTATTTTTAACAAATCAGAACCAGTTTTTGTAAATTTTTACATATAGACAGTATATCACATGATCTATCATGTGAAATTCAAAGGAATAATAATAAAATACATTAAAGTTGAAATATTCTTTGAATACTCAGTAAAAATACTGACTGAATATGGCTTTCTTTTTAGGAAAGGACACAGAATAAGTTCACTTATGGTTTTGTTCTGACCCACCACCCTGTCTTTTCTTTCCCCTTCTTATTCAGGTGCAGATGCAATCATCAGACAGCACAAAGCTGCCTGCCTCAGGATCACTGCCTTATTGGCCTGTAAGGATCTGCTATGGATTGGCACCAGTGCAGGTGAGAATACAGATTTGCCTAAAAAACTGCAGTAGTACTGCAGTACTACAAGATTAAAGGTCTCATATGTAAATATTTACTTTATAAACTTTTTTAACAGTCATATGTGTCCTGAAGTCTGTGTATGAGGTTCACAAAAAAAAAAACATTTTCCCTCTCTCACTGCCTTTCTCCACCTCTTAGCTACTGTAATATGTGCTCAAAATCCTCTGTTTGAAATCGTTCCCCTCATGATGTCATCAGGGGAAATAAGCTGTCTAGAGCTGTCTGTAGGAGCCCATTGGTCAAGCTATGGCCTTCATCTGTATTATGTTTTATTCTGTGCTCCTGGTTGTCATGGTTGCCGGTTGTTTAGGAGCTGCTTTCGGGAGGACAGGGTGTGGAAGGCCAAAACAGCTTGTTTAGAGACGGGCTGAATAAGGAGATTGTAGATAAAGGCTGTATGGTTAATCTGAGAAGAACTTTCTTGTACAAATTACAGAAACATGCTCTGGGGAACTCATTGTTAATATATATTTTTTATTTTAAACATAGAATAATATGGAACCTTTAAAAGTACCATGAATACAGAAAGAAAACAGGAACAATAGAAAACCAAAAAACTAAATTCTGTGTTAAACACAATAACACCCAGAAAAGAAATTCAAATAACGGACAAAGATTTTATTGTGTAATTTTTAGTGTTGTAACTGTTTTCAATTTCAAAAAATGTAAGATTTAGGCTTGGATTTTCAAAGAGAAAACATTTAAAATGTTCTTCTTCAGGGGTGGTACTCACGCTGCCGATCCCAATGGTAAGCTTAGGAACTGTTGCTGGTACTCTGAGGTCACCTCTGGCTCCAATGGGTTCGGCTCACGGACACACGGGGCACGTTCGCTTCCTGACTTCTATCGAACTACCAGAAGGGTTCAACATGAACTTCCCTTCAACAACTACAGACACTGCAGGTCCTGACTTATTTTTCTTATCATTTCAAAAACCTTTATTTCTTCTGATTTTGCTTGTTGCTTTACTAAAGTGTTACAAATAATCAAACAAAGCGTAACCCTGGTGTGTCTGGACTCTAGGCAATAACTCTCAGAGGAGCAGCATAGACGATGGGAGCCTCCAGAGACGCGACTCCACACACCGCAGAGCCTCGACCCACATCCCTGCGAAGACAAATCATCTGGTCATTTCTGGCGGAGATGGCTATGAGGACTTCAGACTGACCAGCAGTAGTGAAACCGTTGGCAGAGACGACAGCACCAACCACCTGTTGCTTTGGAGAGTCTGAGACAATCGAACTCAAGAGTGTGACACATCTCCTCCCTGCACTTCTTGGTGTTTCGTTCTGTAGACGTTCCGCTTGGTCTACGTCTCTGTGCGTGACATGGCTGTAAGCTCCAAACCTGGATTTATGAATGAATTTCACCACATCAAACCCACAATTTTTGTTGTGTCCTCGATGGTGTGCATGGCTTTGCCTGTTTGTTGTTTTTTTATCCGATTGGTTTCAAGTTTTTTTGAAGCACAGAAAAAGACTAGAAGTTTTAATTTAAAGTTGTATAGACTGACTTGTTTTCAAACTGAGGACCAATAAAAAAACTCACGCAAGCAGACCTGGAGTCTTCAGGATGTCAGTGCACACAATAAAAGAGGATTTCAGTAATGTGATGTGACTAATAAGGCATTGCATTTTCTTTGAATTCTGTTTATTGGAGCTTGAAATACTTGGATTCACATTTATTTTTTTCTTTTTAATTTAAGTCAAGAAGCCTTCAGATGAAGATCAGAGATAATAATGTACATGATATGTAACATAACTCAAAACAGTAGTTTGAAATTCCTTGCTATGTATAAATATATATTTTATTTTAGTATTATTTTTTCAGCAGAAATTCTAGCCTTAAGGTGAGACGTAAGGTCAGATTTTTTCTGATTCTATTGAGGTGGTGATGATCTCTGTTGCACAGTGGCTGGTCATAGTCGTGAAACTGCCAATGTCATCTTCGCTCCAGCAGAGGGCGCATAAGTAAGAGGAACTTTATTTACTGTTGTTTTGTTTTTTTTAACAGTATGACATTGCACATTTATAATGCACAGCCTTATTAGACAACACAAAGAACATATAATATGATAGTTGCAGATAATTATGTTTGGTTTGCTCATTCAGTTTCAGTTTTGCCGACAGTTTTAATTGTGTCCACCTAGGAAGGGAGAAAAGTGCATTCTTCCTTAACACAGTCATACCAAAGCCTTGTCTGCTTTAACAATATTTTATGGCCATGAGAAAATCAGTCAGCTGAAGTTCTGTCACGTCTGAACGGAGTCTCTTCATAGATGACGCAAAGCTGCAGTATGCAGGAAGACGATAGTGTACAGTATTTATGCTTTTAATATTAGCGCCTTCTTTTACAGCACTTAATTTATAGAAAATGTAGCTTTCACTTTTTTTTCTGTATGAAATAATGAACACAAAAGCCCAAACTTGGTTATGAGAGTATATAAGGTCCAGTTTAGCTAAGGCCGTTCCTCCATAGTTCAAAACAACACACAACGAAGAGTTCTTGTTGATTCGACTAGATTAAAAATAATTTTGTTACAGTCCTAAAACTTTGCCTTGAACAGTATCAGTAAGCAGCCTTCTTGGACTGCCCAAGCACAGTCACTCTGAGGCCTATATGTGTGCCAAATGGGATTTATAGTTGCTCCATTTCATGTATTTGACCTGGTATTCACACCTGGTATTCACAATCATGATAGTTTGCCAGTAGGATGAATGATTAGTGCCTTCACGTGCCTTCAGAAGGCTAAAGGTTAAGCCATTTTACACACACACATAAGTAAAAGTCAGCTGTCCTTTATTTCTTGCCCTTACAGACACACTTAGGAGTTAGCCGCAGGCTTTGGAGGTTAAGCAGTGATTGTCTTAGATCTCTCAAAGCCTAGAAAACCTCATTGCACTTTATCAGCCATCTGGGCTCCACACCTCAGCATTCCCGCTTCCCAATACACCTGAGTTCTTTCTCCCTGTGAAATAACTGAGAGGATCAGCAAGCTGCTGTTATAGCCTCTACCTAACGTGTTATCATAGGTGTGCATTCTTTTCCGTAAGTGCATTTGTTGTTTAGCGAAAACAAAAAAAAACGTAGAGGCCTTTTTTTTTTTGGCTTTCTGACCTCTTTGTTGGTTCATGTATTGTGTTGAGCAAAGCTATTCTGATCACCCCAATGATTGTAGCTCCAGTATTACTGAAAGCTTTTCTCCTTCCCTGTGCAGACATTCCTTTTCCAGAACAATCCATAAAGAATCTCTTTTTGTCATTTTGTTAAAAAAAAAAAAAAGCAGTTTTTTTGTTT